AGATCCTGGAAACAGTGGACATCACTCTAGACATCATCTCTAGACTTGCATTTTAAGGGCAGGCCCAAGGTGGATTGTACTTCCTCAAGCTGCCCACAGCTGTGTCCCATTCAACTGCACTCTCCACACCCAGGTGCAGCAGGTTTGCTGAGTTTCTCAAATAGGAAAAGGGCCCTCCTCCACTCACAGCTCTTTCTTCACCCACTGTCCTCTCCTACTCCAGCTGCTATCCATTTCTGAGCAGGGAGAGCTTGACCATGGTAGTTCAGGCACTAGTGACTTCAAGACTGGATTACTGTACTGTAACACACTCTACATAAAGTTCCCCTTGTGCATGATTTGGAAACTGCAATTAGTGTTCAGAATGCTGCAGCAAGGTTGTTGACGGGAATGAGGCTTTGACAACTTACAACAGCTCTAGTCTGAAGTCTGCTGATTTGTCAGCTGGTCAAGTTCAAAGTGTTACTATTAGTAATTAATGCTGTTAACAGCTTGAGACCAGTTTACTTGTGAAAGCGCCTTACCCCATATACAGTGGTACCTCGGGTTACATACGCTTCAGGTTACATACGCTTCAGGGTACAGACTCCGCTAACCCAGAAATAGTGCTTCAGGTTAAGAACTTTGCTTCAGGATGAGAACAGAAATTGTGCTCCGGCGGCGTGGCAGCAGCAGCGGGAGGCCCCATTAGCTAAAGTGGTGCTTCAGGTTAAGAACAGTTTCAGGTTAAGAACGGACCTCCGGAACGAATTAAGTACTTAACCTGAGGTACCACTGTATAGCCACTCAACCACTTTGATCTGTGGAACTGACAGTTACATAACACTCATTCTACACTTGTAAGAAATCAATATTTTAGGGTGGCGGAATATACATTCTGGAACTCCCTGTTTACTTGTACTTCTTTTTGGCGCCTGCTTAGTTTAGGCAAACCTATCCAGACATATAGAAAGCTGATATGTGTTTTAATAGTTTTGTTCAATTATTTTTCTTCTGCCTGGCCTTTGGCTTGGAATCAATTTGATTCCCTTCCCCTCTTTCTTTTTTCCTTTCTCCTCCTGTGATGGAACTCCTATTTAGGGACTTTGTTTTTACATTGGTTGTTAGCCACCCTGAGCCCGGTCTTGGCTGGGGAGGGCAGGGTATTATTATTATTATTATTATTATTATTATTATTATTATTATTTTAATGTTTCTAAATAACCGTTTTAAAACTGTCATTTGTTGTTAGTTTTGTTTATTTCTGTAAACCACTTAAAGGTTTAGCAATATAAAAAGGCTGTGAAATAAAACAAATAAAATTAACTCCATTTTTTTAAAGAGTCATATATTCAGGTTAAAGAAAATTATAGGAAGCACAGTGGGTGGGTGGTTTCAGTGTCTGGGAGAATGGTCATTTGCCAGCCCTGGATGGAGTAACTCTGTCTGGAAAAATGGGTGCACAGTCTGGGAGTTCTCCTAGATCCATCTTTGTCACTCAGGGCTCAGGCAGCACTGGCTGTTATGAGTGCCTTTCACCAGCTGCAGCTGGTACACCAACTATGGCCATTATTGGACAAGGATAGCCTGGCTGTAGTGATTCATGCATTGGCAAGCTTAAGACTAGACTACTGCAACATGTTCAATGTGGGGCTAGACTTGCGCCTGGTATGGAAGCTTTTATTTGTGAGGCAATAAAAGAAAATTTGATAAAGATGTTTTACAGGTGGTATCTAACACCAACCAAAATATGTTAAATGTATACATAATTTATTTTTATGTACACCACTTAGAAATATTAATGATTAAGCAGTATATAAATAACTTAAATTAATAAATAAATTTAGCAGTATCATTTTTAACAGTAAGTTTTTTGTCCATCCTGAAAAAGTGAACAATCTTGCTTAATATCCTTGTAGGCATAAAGAGAGAACCACACAGGGATCTAAATATTTTCTTTACACATTGCACATGAATTGCTTGATCAGAAGTTCCAGATTATACCCCTAGAATGTCAGAGATCTGATTATCACAGCAGCGAGTTACAGGCATGGAGAAAATATCTAAATTTCCAAAGGGGGGATTTTATTTAAATGAAAGATTGAATAAGACTTTTTCTTGATGATTTATATCACACTGGGGATGTGGTAATCACTAGGAAGCTGGTGTAGCTATACAGAATTCCAAGATAATGGAATTTCTAGATCCAGATACCCTTGTATAGAAGTTCATTCCAAAAACTGGTCCAGTCTTTTGATTGATCCAGAAAATCATTAGGCACCAAAACAATGGAACTGGAAAAAGTGGGCGTGCAATCATTTCCATCTCTCTCTCTCTCTCTCTCTCTCTCTCTCCCCCCACACACACACACGCCTTTAACTGAATATAAAATTACACAAATAATATTTAAATGTTACAACTATTCAATATAATGATTTTTTTAAATGGCCAAGTTATTTTTTAAAAATACAAAAAAAGTTTGTGTCACAGTATAATTCTCCTCAGACTTATTTTTTTATTTGCTTACTTTAAGAAATTATAAACCACTTCCCAACAAATGTTTCTTAAGCACTCTACAATAAAGGTATAAAAAAGAACATATAGTACACACAGCAATGTAAAAACAAATCTTAAAAACATCAAATTGCACAAATTCAGTATACATTATAAAATGGCTGAGTCACACTTTGGGGGGAATGCCCTATTAAATATAGACATTTTCAGTAGCTGGCTAAAATCAAGAAAATGAAACACTTGTCTAATTTTAATTGGAAGCCAATTCTAGAACTTAAATTTCTACTTTTCACATGCTAGCCTCTAAAGGTTTCTTCAATCATCCAGAATATGAAATTCTCAAAAGGTTCAAAGAAAAAAGTCAATAAGTGAACAAGGCTTCAGATGAGCAACAGATACAGTGCATCCATAAACAAAGGACATTAAATGACTGGACATATTACACGTGTAGGTCTTTGTTTTTAGGAAGAACTGCAGAGTATTAATGCCACATTATATGGTGTCAGGGAGCCATAATTTTGAACATAATTCAACTTTGGTCAGTCATTCAGGGGAAGGCTTATTTGAACAGGTTCAAATAAGAGCAAGAGCACAGCACATCACAGGACAGGCAAACATGTTAGAAAGGTTAAGAAAACTGGGTCAGATAGAAACAAGGTGTCTTGAGAAGGAATTTGAATATTTTCTATAGCTAGATTCAATAAGGCTAGTAAAACATGTGGGGAAATTTAAGTAAATTCTAACTATGGACGCAACTAACATTTATAATGTTTTCAATGATGAGTTCAGAATGGTGACCAGAAGGTGAAGAAAGTAATGGTCTGTATATTTTTAAATAGACTTTGAGCCAAGACTTTATATCTGGGCAGCTCTGCCTCCTTTATGATCACCAGAGGTTACCCATAATTGGTGGTTCTAAGTGACATAGATCTACATACAAGGAACCCCCCTTCTCTGTCCCCCAGAGAAGTGAGTGTATTTTGCTTCATGCTCAGGAACTACCTGCTTGCTGCATTTGACTACAGAAAAAATATTGTCCAAGCTTGGAAAGCTAGGAAACATGGGAGGCTACTGAGGGTAGCTCTCCCCTCGTAGCATTTATCCTGGTTCATTTGCATGAGGCCTATGCTTTTTAAAAAAATACTAAATTGCAGTTTAAATTATGAAACATTTGCTACACACACCTACACCTATTTTCTGCATGTGGCATCCAGTAATAATTGTATGTGTGGTATAAAGTAGCATGTGGACAGAAGAAGCTGGACCAGACACTCATCCCTTGTACTGTACCTACTAGGGTAAGAGATTGTCCAAGGCCACACAGCACCCAAGTCAAACTCTTCAAGCTCTCAATACAATATACACTTACTAATACTACTGTGGCTTTTATGCTCTTCACTTTCAAACACTGAAGCAGGAATAGCAGTGTCGAAAGTTAACAAAGACACAGCACTAAAAATCTTCAGCACAGGAGGCTGTATCCTAAACTTAAAGTTCAATGATCCCAGCGAATTACACACGTGTTGCACTAGCCTAACCTTTTTTTAAAAAAGATCTGTCATCTGCTCTACGAATTTTAAACATAAGCCACCAGAATGATACTGGCAATAGCATTTCCTTTACGCTCCAGAAGCACCATTTTTTTGAAAAAGAAATTACTTACTGCACGTTCGTTGTTGCTTTCTCTCCCCCTAGCAGCCTGTGGAAACACACGCAAAGGCTGGCGCGCGCTAACACACACACACACACACACACACACACACACAGGCTCACCACTGCCTCTTCCCTTTAGAAAGGGCTGACAATGCTGCAGACCAAAAGAACTCAGTCCTATCAGCATTATTATTATTACTGGACGCGATTATCCTGCCCTCACTCACAAAAATATAAGCCTCAGCGCGGGGCGGGGAATACGAGAGAAACCACGTATCAGAGAAACAGCCCCACAAGGAGGGAGAAGCAGTGACAGCAGCGGCAGCCATGGCTCCAGCTGCAGCAACAACAGTGACAGGCTGGGATCGAGGGAGCCAAAGGGCTGCCGGATGGAAAGAGCCCCTTCTTCGGGCTGACAGTCCTCGTGCACAGTATTAGAAGCGGGTCGGGGGGGGGGGAGCGGCGAGGGAGGAAGGAAGGCACGACGACGCACCGAAGGAAGGTGTGTCAGGAGATCTCCTCAGAAAGGGCTCGTGCGTGTTCCATGTAGGCAAAGAGGTTGCAGTACCTCCATTACGAGGAAAGGCAGCGCAAGAAAGGGGGAGTGTTCTCGCTCTCTCTCTCTCTCTGCTTTTTAAATGTACACCCAAAGCAAGCAGGGCAGGAACAGGCAGCAGCAAAAAGAAGCCCACCTCACTTCTATACGAACCGCGGCTCCCTCCCGCCTCACAGGGGAGGTTCAGGGGGGTGCTACAGACTAGGGTGGGCTGCCTCGCGCTCGTGCGCGCGCCTTGCGCGCACACCCACCCACCCACACCCACTGAAAGGGGCACATATATATTCTATACACTCACCTCCGCCACAGAATAGGCTGCATAAAGAGAGCCCCATTTGCAGAAAGGAGGGAGTTTTGACAGACACGCACGTACATATGACACCAGGAAAGGAAGAGGGGGGATTTCAGAGCGGCGCCAAGCCGTTTCTAGAGCAGTTGTTTTCTTCTTTAGTGTCTCCTTGCCACCCTCACCTGTAAAGGGGGTGACCTACAAGGTGGGGGTGTCCTACAAAGGGGGTGTCACTCGCGTAACTGCCGTTGCTCCTTCCCTCCCCGCCTCCCCCCCCTCCCCGCGGAGTCTGCGGTGGAGATACTGGTGGTTTCCTCTCCTTACCTTCTCTCAGCGGAAGGGAGGCGGCTCTTTACAAGAAGCGCCGTCCTTTAAAGAAGATCCGAATTCCGCAGCCACCCCCTGCCGGTCAGCGGCGCCTGGAGTCTCAACCCCGCTCCGAAAGCCACGGCAAGAGTCAGGTTTTGACGACACCCCTTCTCTCCTCTCGCCCCCTCCCCTCAGCTCAGTCGCTCCCCTTTCCCTTGCCCCTCTCGCTCGCTCTCCCCCCACCCCCTCCGCTTTTCAAGCCCGTCAGAATGTCGGTTTGTGACTTTCCACGCGGATTGGCTGGAGCGCCGATCACGTGACCTGCAGAAGGGCACCAGAAACGGGTAGGCACGCGCCGCCGCCGTGAGCGTTAAAGAGAAAGGGGGGGGGGAGGATTTAGAGGGCCCGAGAGTAAGAGCCAACGTCATAATCACCCTCTTGTCAGAATTCCTCGGCATTCCACATAAGAAATGCTACTTCCTCCCTAGTGTACCACGCAGATGTAAGGGAGAAAATAAAAGGAATAACGGGCCCTGACACGGTTAGAGGGCGGAGACAGAAAGCGAGTGCCTGGTGCGCATGCGCACCCGTCGTCTAGTTTTCCTTCTCGGGTGGCGCTGCTGGAACTTTCTGGAAATACCAGCGGCGGTGGTCCGAAGAGGCAGGCTACGGGTAAGAGAAGGAACGCGCGGGCTAGGCTTCCTCGCTTGGGCCGAATGCGAACGGAGGCATCTTCGCCTCGGAGCCACTCCTACAGGTCACTCCCTTCCCCAGGGAAGGGCTTTCCGGCGGCGGTGGCGCAGTGAGTTTTCATAAACATCGAACGCGCATGCGCGGCTGGTGTGTGTGTGGCTCAACCGCATCCTAATAAAAGCGCGGAGGTTGGGGGGGGCAGCAGGACGCAGGGCTTTGCTCCCCTGTGAGGACTACAGTCTCACGGGGCTAACGCGTGGGGAACAAAGGCTTCTGCAAAGAGCACCGGTTCACGTTGCACGAGAACTGAATTAGCCTCCCCACCACTGCAGAGCGTGCAGCCGCTGTGATGTGTGGTCTCGGTGAGCGATATGACGAGGTAGCTCCGCGTTGGAAACGAAAACCGGTTGAGAGTGGATAGTTGGCATTAGCTTAGTATAGCAGGGTAGCGCGTAGTACTTGTAGTACTATTCACGTCACTGGTTCTGACTAGGAAAAATAGCTGGAAACGTGAACAAGTGGTACAATTATACCCATTTGAGGCACAAACTTGATAAAATACTAGATTAACTTTAAATATGATATATAGCGTTCTAGAGTAGTCCCCTTCACGTCCTACACGCAGACAGACACCTAGAAACTCGTGTGACAAGAGCCTGATCTCATCAAGATGTCTTCTCCTCAGAACTACTGCCAAGCAGCTGGACGAATGAGTTTTATTTCTTTAGAAAGTGGCTTTTCATAAGAGTTTGTAGCTCAAGGCTTGTTAAAATAATGTAAGGTTCTATCATTAACCATCGAAAGCTGTCACACATAGTACTAGACTTTGTGTTCTATGTAGTAGACTCACACTGGGGTTTGTTAGCTTTAGCTCAGCACCCTGATGGGAGTTAACAGATCTGGATAAATTCATGGGTGATGAAGCTATCAAGGACTAGGATCAATGGCTATGTACTACCTCCACTGTCAAAAGGCAGCATGCCTTTTAATAGGCATTTGCAGGGACTTGCAGGTGAGGAGAAAGCTGTAGCACTCAGGTTATGCATTGTGGGCTTGATGAACATCTGCTCAACAATACGTGAACACAGAGCTGGACTACATGGGGCTTTAGCCTGATGCAACAGTCTTATTTTCTTATTTTAAAAAATAAATTTTGCAATATTTACAAAGCAGAGTGGGTGTGGTTAATTGACCATAAGAATTGGATTTAGCTTTTTGAGACTCTATGCTTTGGTTTAACATTCATATATTCAAGTTCATTTTGAACCAGGCTAAGAAATTTGCCATAAGAAGTTTTATAAAGCAAACTGGATACTGTGCATTGTTGTCAGGATACTAGAAGGCTACTGTTCGCAAACATACAGATGTTGTCATAAGCACAGGCCCAGTTTCACAGACCTTTGATACTGCATAAACCCATAAAAGGCATCAACAATAAGACACATGTCCAGAAGCATAAAATTCTGGCGTCGACATTCTGCAGTTCATAGTAGGTGCAATTTACAATTTCCATTTGATTTGTGAAAATCAGAAATTAAAACATATTAAAGTTCTAAATTAAAAGTTTATTAAAGGTGATACTTGGTTGGAAAAGCAATTAACTGGTTATAGCTTTTCCATCCACGCATGCCAAATACATATCAGAGTTTTAAGTCCTGGACTTCCCCCCATCAAGTTAGTGACAGCCACTGCTAAAACATGATTAAATACAGTTGCTGTAAGGAATAGAAACATCTGTCTAACCTCACAAGACCAGCTTTTAGATGCTTTAAAAATAAATTTTGGGAGGATTGTGCAGAAGCAATCATGAATCTAAAGATAATCTCCTAACTTCTCTCCGTAGATTGCAATTCTAGTTCAAGAGTACACTGTGTATCTAGTAATTTAAGTAGGTTTAGCTGCATAACATACACATTTAAAGTTAAAACTTCCTTTTTTTGTTTTTTTCACTACATGTAAGTGAACTTCATGAATGAAGTTTGGAGAGGAAAAGCAGAATGGTAATGTAGTCATTTCAAAATATTTTACTTTGAGGAGCGTACATTAAAATCTGCTTCAGATTACGCAGTATATTACCCTATCTGAGTTCTGGTTCCTTACATTAAACATCCCCCATTGACAGCCTGATAACTCACAGCTCACTGTTCTGAAGTATAGGTAAAGGTACCCCTGACTGTAAGGTCCAGTCGCAGACGACTCGGGTTGCGTGCTCACCTCGCTCTATAGGCCGATGGAGCTGGCGTTTTGTCCGTAGACAGCTTCCGGGTCATGTGGCTAGTATGACTAAGCCACTTCTTGTGAACCAGAGCAGCGCACAGGAACACCGTTTACCTTCCCTCCAGAGCAATACCTATTTATCTACTTGCACTTGACGTCCTTTCGAACTGCTAGGTGGGCAGGAGCTGGGACCGAACAACGGGAGCTCACCCCGTCACGGGGATTCAAACCACCAACCTTCCGATCGGCAAGCCCTAGGCTCTGTGGTTTAGACCACAGCCCCACCCATGTCCCTAAGTATAAAAAGGTAAAGGTACCCCTGCCCGTACGGGCCAGTCTTGACAGACTCTAGGGTTGTGCGCCCATCTCACTCTAGAGGCTGGGGGCCAGCGCTGTCCGGAGACACTTCCGGGTCACGTGACCAGCGTGACATTTCTGCTCTGGCGAGCCAGAGCCGCACACGGAAACGCTGTTTACCTTCCCGCTAGTAAGCGGTCCCTATTTATCTACTTGCACCCGGGGGTGCTTTCGAACTGCTAGGTTGGCAGGCGCTGGGACCGAGCAGTGGGAGCGCACCCCGCCGCGGGGATTCGAACCGCCGACCTTTCGATCGGCAAGCCCTAGGCGCTGATGCTTTTACCCACAGCGCCACCCGCGTCCCGTCCCTAAGTATACTTCTTAGCAAAACAATTATAATATAATCAAAGACCAGGAAGTAAGGAAAAAATCTACCTTCTACGCTGAGACGGAGTGGTCTGCACATCATGTTAAGCCATCTAATTAGTGTACCACAAGTAGAGAGATGTTATGAATACCTAAGCAATAGACCCTGACCAGATTTAAGTAACTTAATGTGAAGACTGGCAAGGAATCGAAGGAGTCTAATCTACAGGGATTAGAAAGATTCCCAATTTGTATACTATAAAAGTGAAAATATGCAAACTCTGACTTAGGGCTTAGTTCTGTCTTTATGGAGTTTAAGAATTTGTAAGTTCTTATATGAAACTTAAGTTTTTTGTTAGATCAGCAACACAAAACCAATATTCAATGCTTATTCAATAGAATAAACTGCATTTATTGGATATAGTGAATTATATGAATGCTAGTGCTGTCAAACACATTAGTGCTGTTCATACGTTATGAGGATATCCCAAAATTACAGTTTGCAATAAATAGAAACTAGGTTTAATCTTGCCCTTGTTTCATTATAATTTGCATTCAGATTATTTTAGGACATTGTAAAGCACACACCTTAAACACAGTATTCTGTGTTAAATTCACAGTTCTTTGCATTAGTAGCCCTGAGATTAATTATATGGCATTGAAAACACCTGTCCCCTCAGTGTACCCAGTGGATAAGTCATATCTTCAAAATCACCTACACTGTGTGGGTACCTGAGACGTCTATCTGGTGCAACTATCTTTGACTATTAAGGCCCAGGGATGGGTAATTGTGGCCCTCTGGATGCTGCTGGGTTACAACTTGTATTATCCCTGAAACTGGCTTTTGCTGGCTGTGGCTGATGAGAGTAGAAGTTCAACAATACCTGGAGGGCCACAGGTTAGCTATGTATACATTCCACTTGCACAGCAGTTTGGTCTCTGTTAATATAATATTTTTCCAACCCCCTTTCTACTCAATTTTTTTGGACTGCTTGTTAGATTTATATAATTTATGTATCTAAAATATATATATATTAAATAAAAGCTTTTTAAAGAGACTTTATTTTGTTCTTATTTTAATTTCAAATTTATGTAAAATTGATATAAAGTGTTGTGTTACTTGGGTTAGAATAGCCCTGGTTTGGGGATGACTTGCATTTTCCATTTGCCTATAACAAAATTAATAAATATAAACAATAATAAAACTTGAATTTTAATCTCAGGTAACTATATTAAAGTAAAATTATTATACCAGGCTGTAAGCAACTGAACTCATGTTTTCATCTGTATGCAGTTCAGATTTTATTTTCTGAAGTAGTTCCTTACAACTAGAACAATAGTCTTAAAGGTCTGGCCGAACTCCAAAACCAGGTCCCTTGGGTGGTTC